TAGCAAATGTCTAGTGAGAACATCCATGACTAAAGCAAGAAGATATGGACTTAAGGCTGATCCTATATGTAATCCAACCAAAATAAGAAAAAAAAAATTAAACAAAATACCTTCCGTTCCGTCGGCGAAGAGAGACCCTCGGCGACGCGCGAGCAGGAAAGAGAGGAAAGGATGCTCGGCAAAGTCTGGTGACCGTCGACGGTGAATTCCGGTGACCGTCGGCGACGTCAATCCATAGCGAGCGACGGACGGCGACGGGCGAAACACGCGAGGTGAGAGAACGGAAGGAAAAGAATGAGCGGCCAGAGGGGCTCGGTGTCGAAAAATAGGGCTTTCACCGGCGGACGTTCCGGCGGCGTGTCCGACGGAAATAAGATCCGTCGTAACATGCGACGGAAATAAGTCGTTGAGTTTAAATAAGCCGGCGGAAGTTCCGTCGGTAATGTTCGTCGGTATGTTTACGCCGTAACGTGCGACGGAATCGGTCCAGAGCTCGTTTTACCAACGCATTAATTATCGGCGCATGGGACGTCGGAAGATGTCCGTCGTATTATGCGCCGGCAAATGCGTCGTAAGTTTTCCGTCGCAAGATTTAGGAATATTCTGCTGTTAACTGTGCCGTTCGTACCGGCGCAAAAATTTCCGCCGGAAAATTCGACGGTAATCGCGTGTTTTCCCGTAGTGCTTCCTCCGAAATGGTTAATAAACCCAATGGGCACTTTAGCTCGCCACTTTTCTTAACCATAGTCAAGGGATCACCTTCCAAACTGTTGCACTTCTTTTCGCCTACAGGAACTTGTTCACTCTCATCGATGGCTTTACTGGCGATAGGAGCAATATGAAGTTCTATGGATATCACTTCTAGAGCTTCCTCAACCTTCTCTGTTATAGGAGTGTTCACTGGGTCAAGAGAAACCTTTGCTTCTGTAGGAGTTGTAATTAAACCAACCAAGTCTCTCTCTTCATGATTTGCAGTCACGCATTTTTCCTTGTCGACCAATTCATCTTTTTTTTCATGTTCTTCCTTGATCGCCTTATGTTCCTCTTTGATTTGCACAGTGATTGGGAAATTGAAAGCTTCATTGGCCTCCATCAATTTGTCCACTCTATCCCTTATTTCTCTGTCTCTTATTGTCCTTTTTTTATCCTTTGAGGAAGCGGATCTTGCAGGAGTGTAAAGCGGTGAGTCAGTCCTGCCTCGCACTACAATATCGAGTTGTTCGATTGTTTAACAGTGGAAGTCCGCTAAGTCCGCTTGATTCTCCTTGAGATATACGTTGACTAATGATGCCGAGTTGACCTGCCACCAAGTCTAGAGTCCTTCCAAGTCGATTCGAGTCCATGCTCAGATACCAAACTGATGTAGAACAAAAAATGGCTTTGCTAGGGAGAGGACCACCTCTCCAAAATCTGAAGGAAATTCGGACTTCCTTGCCCAAAACCTGAAAAGAATCTCAAGTTTCCAAAAAAAATCTGAGACAAATTATCAGCTTTTAGTAGACTAGGTTGTGGAGAAAACTGAGAAAAAATTATCAGCCTAAATGCCAAGCTACAGGTTCTGCACTAGAAAATTTTATCTAGAGCCAATAGGAAAGAGGGGGGCGGTGAGAGAGAGCTAGGCCAGCGGGATTTGAATCAAGGAAAATATTTTAGAGGAATTTATTCCAGCAAGGAGCCACGGGCTCATATTTCCTAATTCTCATATCTAGTATGAGGAAATAAAACTTAGAGCCTAGGTATGAAGGAAAATTCGGCTCAGGGAAATTATGGGGATTTCAAATTATTTCCTAAGTGAGAGATTAGATTAGGAAATAATTTCGGCTAGGCTGAAGTTAAGTGGATTTCATGACATTTAATTCCTAATGCCAATTTGAATTTGGAATTTGAAATTCAAATAACATGCAATCAAGTCCCTTAATGAAACATTAAAGGATAGGGGACAACCAAGGGGGCCTGCGACATGCTGAGGGGAAGGGATTTAATGGGAGTATTCAAGGCTTCATAATTTGGTTTAATGAGTTAGGAAAATAATGAAATAAATCCAATTTGAATTTAAAATTCAAATTGATTTAAATTAAGTAATTTTCTAAAATAGATTAACCAAATTAGGAAAGAATTTGAAATTTGAATTTGGAAATTCAAAAGGGAAGGTTCGGCCGGCAGTTAATGAGGTAGAGCCGGCGGCATTGGTTCGGGTATAGGGGGGGATTTTGGGTGGAGGTGAATCCGATGGCCAAACGAAGATGGGGAGGAGGGAGACGATGGAAAAAAAAATTAAAGAATAGATAAAACAAAAAACAAAGATTGAAACAAACGATAAAGAGAAATTAATAACAACGAGTCTCGGACTCTTTCGAAGACTAACAGGTGATCCGTTGCCCTTCTCCAAGGGACTTCAAATCACGAGCCCGGACCCATCCTGCGGCTTGTGACAACTTCGATTCCTTCCCATAGGAATCTCATTCTCGTCCTCTCTCAAAAAGAACACAAGTGTGGACACAATTTGTTTTTAATATCAAATCTCCATCCCCATTATAATAGCTTAAGGCCCTATATATAAGCCACAACATAAGAAAAATAAAAATTACAAAATTGCCCCTTGGTCACAACACTCAAATAACTAACCTAGGGGTAAAATAGGAAATACATAAAACAAGAGCTAAAATTTAGTAAATAATTCATAAATGAAATTTAAATAATAGCCATTGATTTACGACGCCTCCTGTGATAGATGCGTCAAATCTCCGTATCGATGTCTGCATCATTAAAACTAGTGCTTCCATTATCAATTTTTTTTTTAGAACAAGAAATGTATTATCAATCCTTTTATTGGAGAAATTTTAAAATAATCTAACGTGTTGTTGGTTAGAACAACTATATAATCCAATGAAGCATCGATATAGGGATTCTTTCTAAACGTTTTTGGTTTATTCTTACACAAATTGGTCTTATTACTAATGCAACCTATTCTTCTTTCAACACCGTTCTTCCTAATATGATCCTAAATGGTGGAATCATTATCAAAACAACCTCATAATTAAATTTCTCTTAAGATATATTTCTAATTTTAGGGATTACCCTAAACCCTAAATAATGCAAGTTGAAGAATGAGAAGAAGATGAAGAAGAATATGCATAAAAAGAATGAGAAGAAAAAGAGAAGAAGAGAATGAAGAGGAAGAGACTCACAGTGAGGATCAAAGGACCGGCCGGTCGGGATTCGCGAGAGGAGAAGAGTTGCGTCGCAGCTTGGATGTTCGCTCCCGATCACGCGAGCTAAGAGAGAAGATGAGAATTAGGGATTATACTATCTTAAAATCACGGTGGGCTTTGCCGGCTGTTTAAACCGGTGCTAATTGCACGGGTTTAAACCGCTGCAATTGTATGTTAAATCAGGTGCAAATGACAGGTTTTGACAGCATTTTTGAAACCGCCGCAAAGAAATGATGCGATAAGGGCTGATTTTGGTATTGAGAACTACTATAGTAAAAAAAATTGAAACAAAACGTTAACGAAGGGACAAACCGTTTTCAATTTTAATAATGCTTAACAATTAAATTTATTTTTTGCATTAATAACAAACATTTATGGCCGAGAGTGACCTTCGATCTTTTCTCTCGTTCACAAGCATATATACGTGAAATGGAGAAAGAGAGCTGAGAGCCAAACACACACATATAGTGAGAGCCAGATAGAGAGAGAGAGAGAGAGAACAGCAGGTAAATTATCAACCTTCAAGTCTAATCTCATTAACATTATTGCATATCAACTGATCCACATTAAGACTGCACACTCCTCTAACAACAATCTTATTACTTCATCAAAGAGTACACACTACATAAACTGAACCTACCATATTACCCGAAGGCTTCAGCCAGCTTACAAACCTTGAATCATATCAGAATCTAACCTAAATAATAACATAAATAAAATCAAATCAATCAAGAATATCTTAATCCAAATTAGTATCTAACAAATGAACAAGCTAGCCATGCTTAGAGCCATCAACTATCGCTATTATTACTCCTCTCAGTTCCCATTAATCTGTCTTAAAAGTAAAAATAGTATCCATGCTGTTACTGCTACTTCCTGAATTGAACATAGCATCTGCAAGATCAGCGACCGATCCTTCCCCTTCCCTTCCAGTCCTGACAGGCGGCGCCGCCTGCTCTGATGGACCCGCATGAGCTCTGCTACTCTCCCCTACCTCATGCGAGCTGAGAAAAGGGCGGGACGGTGCCTTTCCCTCGCTTTCATGTTCTTTCAAAAACCAGCTGCTAAGCTCAATCGACGTGGAGAGGGGAAAAGCCGGTGGCGGTGAGGCTCCGGTCATTATGGCTACGTTGCCACTCATGCTCTCATTTGTCGTCGGCGTCATGGAGGGGAGAATCAGAGGTGTAGGGGAGGTTTGGCACGTGTGGTTTCCGCAGTAGGTTATCTCGTACGTGTTGGGGTCGGCGTCGAGCCTTTGAACTTTTCTCTTGGCCTTACAGCCATAGAAGTTCCTGTGGGTGCAACGGAAGTAGCTCCTGCGAACAAAACGGTGAATTATTGCCATATGCCATTGTTGTTGCAGGGATTTGATGTGAAGTTTGCAGGAATTAGGAGGGAAATCTCATATTAGCTAGGGTTTTGATTTCATTGTAATTAAAATGAAATTGCAGGAAATATGAATAAATGATTTTTTTATTGAAAATTTGATAAGTAATTTCTAGAGAAAATTTAAAAGAAATTTTACTTTTCATTTCCTCTACAATTCCATAAACTAAAGAAAGCCGAAAGCTTTGGCTGCACCAACTTTTGTGGTTAGGGAGAAATTTATTGATTATTTTATTTTTCTTATTTTAATTATTAAAAAATTGACTTTTTTTAGTAAGAAAATATGTGTGCGCTATAACAATGATCCAATAATTTTATCTTCTTGCATTTCATTAAGGTTGGATAGAAAATTGTGAATGAAAAAAATATATTTATTACATTTCCTGACTAAATATAATTATCTCTTAATTACAAAATAAATAGAGCTTTAAGACAATTTTTAGCTGAATTTTGGAAAATAACATGTAGAGTTAAAAGTGGATGATCAAAACGAACTAGCTCAGATGGCTTTATAATGCTATAATTGACCTGATTTTATTGTAAGAATCCACATGTTGGATGGTGAAGAAAGATTAATAGCCAAATTAAATACTATAAAAATAAAAATATTAAGATAAATGCATAGTATATATATATTCAAGAATTATTATATGTAAGGGTTAGTAATAAATCTATTTAAGACAATTTGTTGAAGATTAAGTTTATGTTTGGGATAGCTTTCTTACGGTTTTTAAAGTAGTTTTTTAGTATAAAAATTTTTCGTTCAAAAATATTTTATATGAATACGTTGTTTTAGAAAGCATGAAGAAAGCTGCCGCAAATACAACCAAAATTTTTGTGGTTAAAAAAAAAAGTAAAATAAAAGGTAGAAATCTAATCTATATATAAGGAATAGAAGAAAAATTGAATAAAGATAATATGAGTATAAGTTTTGAAGAAAAAATATTTTATAGTGTAGATTATTCATTATCTCACGCTGCAATCAGCATAAATAATGGGTAAAACTAATGATGTATTTGATGATAATGAAGATGAGAGGAAATGGATAAAAAAAGTTTGATTAGCTTTGAAAAGTTCTTAGTTTTACAGTATCTATAATACCAGTGTTTATAATATAAGAGATATGTTTTATGGACTCAAATCCTCAAAAAAATTTCTCATAAAAAATTTAATTGATGAAATTTTTAAATATTATAGCTAAAACTTTAATACTAAATTCTTCCACCATTAGGCATTAAGTATATGCTTAGGCACTCAATTTTTTTAAACAAAAAAAAATCCTGATAAGATTTGCCTCCAAGCTTTGCGGAAAGAGCGGCAGATAATTACTTTGACAATAAAGTAAACCGTTTACCTGGGAAACTTTGACCCAAGAATGGCTTTCTGTCCATATTTGCGCCACGTGTACCCATCATCCGGTGGAAGTTCCAAATTTCCAGTGCGAAGCGCGGGAATCCTCACCGTTCGTGTGTCGCCGCTGTCCCTCCTGCTCGTCAATTTGCCAAACTTAGTTCCGAAGCCAACGGCCATCCTATAACTAATTTTTTAAAGTGCAAATTATTACATCTAAGCCCTCGTGATTTCTAAAATTATTAAAATTAATATTTCATGCAAAAATTTATATTGCACTATTTTTAAAATAAATTTATTTATTTTTTAATCCGTTAATATAAGTCACCGTCTAATGAAAACTCCCTACAAATTTCAGTGAAAGTGTGGAAAGAAAAAAAATAAAGAAAAACACAGGCAGTTTGAATTTTCAACCTTCTTCTAGATGGCCGTTGACCCGTTGACCCGACAGGCCCGCCCAGCCTTCCACCATGCCCTGTTTCCGCCTCACTCACGACCACCACTGCATGCTCTTGCTCGCCGCCGGCGAGCCTCCCACCACCACCAACATCGGCGAATTCCACTGCCGCAATTGCAGCACCCGTTACCTGAATATCCAATCCAAACTGCGAAAAGGCCATCTGGCCCGTTGGCATTGAGTCCGGATCATGCAAATGGCTCCAATCCTCCATTATTCTCTCGCCAATGATCAACTGACCTGTGGGATCGAACGAAGAAGAAGAGCCCCCCAAGCAGCCTCGGAGATCGTAGACTACCTTGTTGAAGGCGAGGGAGACCTGCTCGCAAGAGGCGAGTAAGACGTTTGGATTATTCGCAATATGAGGAAGGGAGGACTCGAGCTCTCGAGAAAGCCTACAGGCCTGAAGGACTTGGTTAAGAATTTCGTCCATGGCTGCACTTTGAGGTTTAATTACTCTGTTTAAGGTTTGTTTGTGGATGAATAATACAGTAAGGGAGAGCTAAATAGAAGGTGGGGTTTGATTAAGGTTGTGTTCAAAGGGTTAGGGACCGTTTTGACACGTTATGAAGAATGAATTGTGTTTAATTTGTGAAGGAATTAAATTGAAAAACATAGTGGAGAGAGGCATTGGATGGACTTAGTCATGGTCCATGGGTTTTGTGGGGATCTCAGTCTTGGGTCTTTGAGAAGACCTTGTGGGGGCAAAAGCTTCTCTGTAGTAGGAAGGATTTTTTTTTTTGTTTACTGAAAGAATCTGACCATTGAGAAAGTAGAAGTTTCCTACACTAAGAAATTGATTTCAAATTTCACAAACTTCCTCAAAAACATCTTAAATTTAACATTTAAATGACTGAAAATAAAATGAGTACTGCAATCTGCTGGTGCGGAACTGACTTTTCTTTTGAGCGTGTGCAAAATAGGACTGTAAAATGTATAATTTTATATATGGAATAGTTAAATGGCAAAATAGTTAAAATATTTGTTTTTCTAATAAAAAAAAAGATTTTAGGAAGAAATTATTCATCTTGAGCTCTTCCGAATTTCACCCCTGACAATGCATGCAATGGCATGTTTTCTGTTGGCTTATTTGCATGTAAATGATCTTATTTTTCCATTTGCATATGACCTTCGAGAAGGTTATGTAGAACTGAGCACACAGAAAAGGTTGAAGGCGATATTGTATTAGTTTCTATTACGAAAAAGGGATTATTAAATTGAAAGCAATTGGTTTCCTAAAAATGCGTAAACGATGCAGAAAGAACAATTATAGGGCTGAAATTAGAATTCGATCATGTTAAGAAAATGGAAAAAAAAATATTAAATTTATTATTTAATTGAATATAATTAGCTATTAATATATTTTATATTCCATAAACTCTCTCATAATTTCTATATAAAAAAATTATTTTGAATCATACTCAAATAAAAAAAAATTATATTACGTGCTTATAATGAAAATGTTAAAATTTAATAAGAGCTTCAGCTGGGTATCATCATTTTATAATTGTCTGATTTTTCCTGTGTTTCCAGAAAATGGAGATTCAAACTCTTATGCATGCGGACTTAACACTTAACACTTCTAAAATAAAATAAAATAGTAATGATCTTCGTACAGTGCTACCATTTCTTCATAACAGCCATATTTGTGAGCTCTTTTCGTTATTTGTTTAAAAAATACTGTTACCCCACGGGGTTTAGCTGAGTTGGTGGACGAACGTGATTGGGAATCCCCCAATTTATATTTGATTCCTCTCTCATGCGGCGCGACTTTTTAAATGGGGAGAAAATAATTGTGTGACTCTGCACCTGTGGGGTTGGTTGCTTGCTTGTAGGCCCATCGAGGGATTAGTTATGCTGCCATGCACCTCCTTTCGGGGTGACAACGTGTAGATACCCCGTTCAAAAAAAGAAAAAAAAGAAAAAAAAACTGTTTCTTAACTTCTTAGCAGGAAGGAAATTTACAATAAATTCCAAAAGTTGATCAAGTCTCAGTTCGCACACCAAATAAGACGAGCCAACTTAAAGCATCATGTACTTGACTAATTAAAACAAATCTACCTATCACTTCTATGTATTCTTTTTTCATTTATTTTGTCATACAGTGCAGGTTTTACAGTGGAGTTTCGTTCATTATCATTGTGAGACAATATGTGCAAGTCTAATACTCGTTGGGTTAGTGTGACTAATGAAAATTTTTTCCTAATTCTAAGCAAATCAAAACTTTCATAATAATAGCTACAGAAAAAAATTTAGTAGTTTTGTACTTTATAATTGTAAGAGAAGTTTTCTCAGAAATGAAAAGGGTAATGGCTAATAAACCCGTGGTGGTGTGAATGTGAGGCGTTGGAAGTGAGTCTAAACTCTAAAGCTGCCAAAGAAGCATAGGCTGATTTTGTGGCCTTTGATGATTAGAGTGGACACTCATTTTTGTACACTAATGGTCATTTGGATCTAATTGAACAAATTATTTTATAAACTCAAACCTTATTTTTTAAAATCTCCTCCAATTTGACAGATTACTTATGTCACGCCCCGCGATTTAAAGTGAAAAAATTTCTTTTATTTTTATTCTTTTTCGTACTATTATCTTTTCAATATCATTCTATTCATTTGTCAATTAGATCGATAAACATATAGAGATGATTAATTGCATAACAGAAAATAAGTAAACTATGGAAAATTAACATAATTCGCATTATTATGGTACTCAATATTTACACTCTATCGTGGTAGAGCTCAAAATAATATATACAATAGCTTTCATAGACTACAAAAAATAGAAATAAATCAGAAGAACCGAAAGAAAACTAAAACATCACTATAACTAAATTTCAATCAACAGACTCCTTACAATTACCTTAAATCATATAAAATCACATAATGATCAGCATGAAAGCCCAACAAGTAATTAAAACCTTACAACTGAAATCAATGCAATACGAAGAAAAATAATATATTATAAATCATATAAAAAAATTTATGCATCAATATTTATATAGCTTATTTGTATTAATTTTTCAATTTATAACATATCACATCTTATAAATCTAGTACATCACCAGCCACAGTATAATTAAATAATATCAGTGTTAGTTATAACATTAATAACAATATAAGTATTCTCATTATATCATTCACGATATTAATAATAGTAACAGTAGTTAGTAAAAATAGTTTACAATATAAACTACAATGTAAGTAATAATGAGTAATCAATTACAATAATCAATATTAGTACAATATTCAGATATTCAAAAGATGGTATCTTGATCTTTATCTTACACTTATGTCTTCCAATCAGTCACCCCTTATGACTTCAAATCAATAAGCTCTTATAACTCCCCTTGAAATATTTGATAGTTTCTCTGACTCCTTATAACTCACAATCGGTACATATTAAATGTTATACGATGAAAGCTTAGGAAATCATGAGATAATATAGTTTTAGCAGATTTATGATAGATAAATTTATAGAAATCAAAATCATCAAAAATAAAAGTAATGGATTTCACTTACAACAAATAGAACAATTTATGTAATAGGAATGATGGATGGAAACGTCCAAAAAATAACTTTCTCTATCCTCTTCCTCTCCCCTCTCCTTTTCCTTTCCAAGCATGTCACGGCCGAAATAGGGGATGTGGCGGCACTGAATTACTTTAATGTTTAGGTTTAGAACAAAAAAATATATAAAATATTATTAGTGGCCTACCCAGCACTGCAATGCAAAGACCCAACGCCGCAACATTGCTTGTCAAATCAAAATTTACCATAAAACATAGAATCAAATGCACAACGGCATTTTCTAGCATCGTTATGTTCTCAAACCTAGTGATGTAATGCTCATAAGTACAGAACTGAAGCGACCTAGTTCTGACAAAAAATTAAAATTTTATATTTTAAAATTATTTTTATTTTCATGTTATTACAACTCGTTAGGTCATTCAAGAATTCTCATTAAGAGAATTCACCAACTAAAATTTGTCAAAGGAATTCATATCTTGAAAATTTTCAAAGAAACTTGTCTTCACATGGAATAATTCAAATTGGGAATTTGTCCTTAGATCTTATCCTCAATGAGAACTTTATCTTACATAAAATTAATTAATCTTCAATGGAAATATCTGCTCAAACAGAACTTGTCATCAAACAAAACTCATCCTCAAACAAAACCCATCCACACTAAGAACTCATCCTCACACAAAACTCATGCTTAATGGATACTTAACCTTTCACAGAACTCGCTATCATTGGGAATTCATCTATGTATAGTACTTATCCTTACAAATAATTCATCATAACTTAGATAATTACTATAGTTAACCGGATTGTCCACTTCACAATAATCTTTGTTATGTAATTTGACTTATATTACTCAAATTTATCTATCCATATAACATTTTTTTTTTCATTTTTTTCATCTATCCATATAACATTGAACCTTGACATAATCATATAATTAGGGGACATTCAATAATAGTTAGTCAAACTTTGATATATTTTGATTAACTCATGTCATATGAGATTTTGTTTCATAACATCAATCTAATGGAGATTCTCAAAACTTCTTTTTCATTCATCCATGTAAAAGCTTATTTCATAGTTATTATTAATAAAATTATGGTATCACCCATCAATAAATCTTGATTTAGCATTATTTTAGGTATGCGAGCATGGATGATGCATAGAATAAGAAGTCAAGCCACATATATAGCATATTGAAAAAATTGATAGTTTTCATAGGATGCACAAATGCTCAATATGATCTCATCATTTTCGTTTGGGACGACTTTCTTATTGCTTCTTAAAGTAACTTTTTAGTAAACAAATAAATTTTTTATACTAAAAAGTTGCTTTAAGAAACAGTAAGAAAGCTGTCCCAAACGAAGCTTAAATTAGATGGAAGACCATTTGATGAAAATGGCCAAAGAAATATGAATACATTTATGCTCCTCTAGTTCATCCCAATTGAGAACATTATTGAACTTATTTACCTCATCATTGAAAACATCATTGCTTACACACTCCATAACCAACACATCTTCTCTTCCAATAGAAGTGCAACAAAGTCTTTTGACGCCCATGAACGATAAAGTATTTAATATGATCGAAGCTTCTAGATCAAATACTATACAACTACGCATGCAACTTATCTTGATATGTTACTTGAGAGCTTCCACTGTCAACCAAAAAATCTTTGATTCGAACCTTAACAAGAAGCCGCATGAAACACATGAAATTCACGTCAAATTTGGCCAAACGACCAGCCTAGTGACTTTAGCTTTACTCAAAAAAGAACTCGCCATAGAGAGAGCAGATCTTCCCTCAACAGAGGAATTGATTTGAGGTTTTTGGTATTTATTCTTCAAGTTACTTTACCATTAAAAAAAAAGTTGCCTTTTCTCCAAAAAAAAACAAACGTTACTTTACCTAACCTATAAAAAAAGTTATGAAGAACTGACCACACCGAGAGAATTTGAGAAGTTAAGAAAAAGGAAATAATGTATAAGATTATAGTTT